ACGTCACTGGATTTATTTCTATGAAGACAACGTTTAATTAAATAGGAAACTTGAACATAAACTGTTAAACTTTTAGTACTTACGCTATCGATAGAGACAACGTTGTTATTTAATGTATATTACATTTTCAGAGAGATGTTAGTAAAAGAACTAACTCACCCATTGGAGGATGTTGTATATTGATCTTTTGTTGCTATGGAATTTATCGAAGTTGCTCTCGTGAAACGATATTTTTCAATAATGTGGACTTTGCATAAAGCCCATCACTTTAATCGGCGATAATGATCCAAATCAGACGTGCTGATCTATCGAATTTCCATTTTTCTTAGGATGTTACACTCCTATAGAGTCATTGCTCGATTTCCGTTCGAAATTCGTTTTAAATGAAAGCGATTTTTTTTTCGACAACGGCTTCACAGTCGGCGCAATCAAATTAAATTAAAATTCCTCTGCCGTGTCAATCGTTTCGAATATATATGTTTAAATTTTAATATTTCAGTAGTATATTATAGTCACAGCATTATATTCAGTTCTTATGCTAATACAAATTGGAGTGATTAATTTATATTAATACTTTAACATAATGATGTAGTGAAATACGGTAACTGACTGTTATTTATTTGATATTAATCAACTTGCTTGCATGGAACAAAATTTCGGTAGATGTTATCAGTATTTTAAACGTAAAGTAAAGGTTTAGGAGGGAGAGGGATGTGCTATTATGGTATGTATGTGGTGTTAGATGGGGTGGAAAGAGTAGACGTACAACCTAACGCAGATATAATAATTTTTATATTTAGGTATATCGAACATTACAACGTGCATAAAATACAAACTGTATAAAGTTATTTTTTGTCATTCTACTAAGGGCTATTTTAACCATTTTATTTTGTAAAATTCACATAAAGTAAAATTACCAGGACGGGGTAGTTTAGGAAAAGAATTTCCATTATTAATTCCCTTTTCTTCTAACCTTCTTTATCCACAATTTCCTCATCATTTTCCTGTAACACTTCATTTCGAACGCTTCTAACCTTTTCTTTTCTGCCGCGCCCACTGTCCATGTTTCGCACTCGTACAGCGCCGCGCTCCAAACATACACCTTTTTCGAATTTCTAAATTAACTGTTCGCGAGCATAGAAGTGACTTCTTTTTATTGAAGGCGACTCAACCCTGCGCTATCCTTTCCTTTATATCCCTATTACATCTTCCGCCCTGACTTAGCTGACTTCCAAGAGATTTAAAATAATAAAAACACATTACAATCAGATCATTAAATTAAATAATTAACAAAAACCCTAAAGTAACAATTTACCTCGTGACAGAATTCTTTAAAGCGTCACGTTTTTGGAACGAAAAAACTCATTTGGATGACATATGCGATATGTTCGATTTTGACAAATGAGTAACTAGATACAAACATCCCATTTGCGACTGATGAGAACGTTCCTTCCAGCAAACAGTTTGTACGAATATCGGTGCAATTTTCGATAATGCGGGTCACTGAGCAAAGTGAAAATGCATGTTATTATGAACGACTGCGGGCGGTTTAGTGGAGGTGGGTGGTTACGGGTGGCGAACGACGTGGTGCACCTCGGTGGCGGTTTGCCGTAGTTGTGCAATTGCCTGCGAGCTGTGGTGGAACAAGCTTGATGATGAGGCAGGCGAAAAGTGGCCAAAAACCTCCAAGATAAAAGTGATGTGCGGCTGTTTAAAGTTCCATCTCAACCAGTGCACTCAAGTGGTCGTCGTTTCCTTTGCGTTTGAAGAGAAATACGCCGACAAAAATTGAGGGAATTTTCGTTTGATGAAATTGTCTGTTTACTTAGCGAGTTCACGATATTTCTCCTTCTGTTCCACGAAGACGGCAGATTTATTTTGCAAGACTAAGCAAGCCGACCTTGTTTTCAATAAAAGGAAAGGCGAGCGTGCTAGTCCTATGTAAATATATCGTAAAATATTGTTTTGTTTATTCAATTTTATAATTGTTATGTATGTGTTTTGAAAAGTGCAGAAACTTGTATTTAGTAGTTTATTACGCTCGCTTAATTAAAATTGGTTAATCAATGGATTTTCTGCAACTGAATTGTTTTTTATTATCAACCCTTCTTTTCTTTTCATATTCTTTTTAATTCTCTAAACGTGCAATTACAAACACTTTTTACCGTTTTTCATGTAGAATTTCGTCCATTTGGTCATTTCTGAAAATATCCATTAAAAATATGTGGAACCTGACAACAAATAGAAAGAAATGCGTAGGTTATTAGGACAGTTTTTTCGACATGAAGGGTAAGTTATGGGCACAGAAGCAGAAGCTGTAGTTAAGAGGGGTATAGGTAGATCTAAACTAGATTACTTAATATAAGGTCGTTAGTCCTAGGACTGGTTGGACACGCACCTCCACTCTTTCCGATCCTGAGCTAATTTTCGCATTTTCCTAAAACTAGAACATTTAATATGCTTAACTATTTGCGAACAGTAATCTAATCTAGGTCTACCTCTACTCCTCTTAACTCCTGTTTGTGCTGTTAATATTTCTCTAACTGGCCCCTTCATACCTGAGAAAGTGTCCTACCAACCTTTCTCGTCCATTTCTTATTGACTTCCATAGAGTCCTCTGTTCTCGTATTCTTTCTAATACCTTTTCATTTCTAACCTTCTTTATCCGCGGTATCCTCATCATTCATATGTAACACCACATTACTGTTCGCAAATAATTAAGGATTGCTCAAGTTTTCGAAGACTGGAACAAAATAGGAAGAAGTGAAGGTGCGTGTCAAACCAGTCTTTGGACTGAAAACCTTATGATGATGATGATGATAACATGACTTTAATAATAATGTTTTATCAAATTGTGAATTGACCTTAACATAATGATAGAGTCGCGGACTCTTTTACATACCTTTTTAGGAACCATTCATATAACGTTAAGACAGCGCCCGTAGGAAACCCATTTCGTTGAAAATTGGTCTTCACAGAAACATCTTTTACTTTAACGGAATAATATACGCCTGTGTCCACCCTGAAAATCTGCTATAAATATTGGTTAAATAATTTTTGAAAGCGAATGAGTAGTATCAAAGATTATCTTCTACATTCAAACGTATTAACTTTACCTCTATAAAATATTAGTGTATAGGTAAATGAACCAAGTGTTTCGCTAAAATTGTTTCTTGCTTACTAGTGCCATTGTGCAACTCAGAAATTGTGTATCTTTCTAAATCCTGATCAAGCTTAGGGCGGAAACTAAAACAGGTTCAAAATTTTTTAGGCTAGTCTTAGCCTGCCTTGACGTAACCCTGTCTGTTACCCTGTAGCTGGTAAAACAGGAGTTGAATCAAATGTAAATTAAAATTTTACTTGCTACACATATTGCTAGAAGAAATTTTCCTAGAAGTCAACTGTTAAGTTCCTTTATTATTTTAATTTTAATAGTTTTATTTAACTGTATTTTCCCAAACTTGTAAAGTAAGAATTTTTATTATTTAGCAAGTAGGAATGAAAAAAATATTGATACATACAAAGTGACATGGTATATAGGTACTATTTTCAGTATAAAAAGGCATCATAGAAATAGTGTAAACATCACGTTTAACTTATCTAAAGCAGATAATTGTTACAAATTATACATGCACCTAGGTACTTGTAGAATGCCTGATATTTCTAGTAAATAGTAAAATAGTTTGGAAACTTAGTTCTACCAAAACAAACTGGGAAGCAAATACTGTTCGGATTCAGAACAGCTGAAATATCAAAGACGTCCTGACTGACAAGAAACTATTCATTGAAACTTAAGTTGGAATAACAACAAAGTAAAGTTTTAACGTGTTAATTTCGGTGATTAATTAACAAAAACATCGCAAGTTAGATCATACATTGTAAATGTAACAAAACGTGCAGAATTGTTTCTATCTATTTTTTAAAGTAATTTTTTATTACATTGCTTTGTCTTTACTCATTTTATTGTAAATAAACTATTATTGTTTTATCTACATTGTGGAATTACATTTAATGTTTTATATTATAATAATAATAAAGGTATTAACACAAAAAGTTACAATTAGTAATTAAAAATGATTATAACTATATAGTGAAACGAATTGGGCTAATGGGCTGAGGTTTAAATGAATTGTTGGGTCCAGATGATTTGTTGGCATCTGCTGCTGATTACAGTTAACAAAAATTTCATTTATACCTTTGAAAAGGCCTTATAGTTGAAGATTAAGCATTGTCGATTTTTGATCAAATAAACAGTTTATTACTCTACTAATTGGGATTCAATTGATAAGAAGGAGGAAGAAACAGAAATTAGGCTTTAAATTAATGACTTATTTTATATACGACGGCATCTTTTTGTTGTTTAAATTTGGTTCTATTTTTAAGTCTTAACCTTTTACATTTTAGTGAAGACTAAGATAGGTAGGTATATAATTACAAGCTGAAAATACTATAACTGAAAGGGGATAATGAAGACTTGCTTGTTAGTAATTTATCACAGAATGTGTATCTATTCATTATCTATAAGAGTTTTCACAAGGTGCTAGAATAGGTACCGACCTAATGAGAGTAATTAATAAACCAAAACTGAGGTACAAAATGGACGACTTAAACTTTTGCGTGTTCCGTTCCCATCGGCTACTAACACCCTCAAGCGGACAGTTCGCCCCCCCCCCTCCTAACACTTATATTACGAATGTAGGAAGAAAAATGAATTATAAAAGATATTCTGTTTATTATAAGTTAAAGGAATAATAAAATAATATTAGCGTTTAATAATTTTTATACTCCTTTACCTCTTCTACACGAGTGATAATATTGTCATGTATAGGCAACCCAACGTACAGTGTCACGTGTAGGCAACTTAAACATGCACAGTGACTAAGAAGTTGAACATTCTCGATCCTTCTAGAACAAGCCAGCCGCTATTAATAGATGCCGCGAGGTCGGAACAGTTACTCAATGCGAGTTTGAGTTACGGGACGGTATAATGTGAAATAGAAAGAGCGAAAAAGCGTGCGATATAGTGGTGAATTATTAATTAATTAATAATAGTGGTGTTAAATAGATTATTGAGTAGTGAAAAAGGTGTTTGATTACGTGACAATATTACTAACATTTATTTCAAAGTGCTTATAGAAAGACTTATTACTTCAGTGCAACCGGAGTGCAGTGTCGGAGAAACAAGTTAATCATTAATTTGGAAACTTCGTGTCTGTAACTTTGAAGACGTTGAGTTTTTGTACCGTTAAGTCCGTTTACAAGGAGCTCTCTCTCGTTTCGCACCGGAAAAAGGTTGGTGATATTTTTTTCTTTTTGGAGTTCTTTTCTTTTGAGAGTATAGGTGGCATGTCTACGAAAAGGATTCCTGCCTAATATGCTTTTTTGCTCGAGAAAAGGGGGAGTAGTCCACGTTCAGTAAAGAACAAACAACTTCCGACAGCTCGCAAGAAACTTGATAAACTGCACACGTACGTATCTGAACTAATGACTTGCAACTGGGTAGCCAATTTTCTGGAGCGAACCGTCTCATTTACTCGTGGGAGATTTTTGAGCCTAATGTACTGTACGGCTGGTAGGTATGGCATTCAGGCGTCTCGACGCGACCGGCATCGTTCCGTTCGTTCGTTCGTCCGTTCCATTTTGCCTTTAATATTAAGCTTCGTATGGGGAGTCCCGAACAAATAGCATGCTATGCCGTATAAAAAAACTTCAATTTCCATTCCGACGCGCGGCAATCGAGTTTTATTTTTCTGTTGAGAAGTGAAAAACGGATGCGAATAAGCGGCAATATTTGTACCTTATCCGTTTATATTCGATATTGATTTTGATTTAGAGCACAAAGTTTATTTCGTTGCCTACGGCCGAGTTTATTTTTCATTCCAGGTAAATGCTATTAAGTTTTAAAAACTGACGGGAGTAAGAGTAGGTAGCTTACCTTTCTTTTTTACCTTTTACATTTCCTTTTGAATAAATGATGTTGCATCCAAGTTTATCGATTTATTTTTCTCTTGGTAGTATTAAAGAGTAACGGTTTGATTAAAACTTTCAATAATAATATCTGATGGTTTAAATATCTACTACATTATATACAAGTCGTTATTATACTGAATTTCCCTGAGAATAGAGACAGTAAATCAGGAAAATGAATTTTATTTTTAAAGAGAAATATTTATTGACTCTATTTATCCATGATTATTTCGTAATAGTTTGGAATTGAATGAACCACACAAGGAGTTGTATCCGGTGATGCCGAATTCCCTCCCGCAGGTAGTTTTGGTTAAAATATAGATAGTCGAATTCCCTCCCGGGTACTAGCCGAGTTCTCTGCCGTTCACATCAGCTCCGTTAATTAAGTTAAAGACTACTTACCGATTTTATTTATCGAAAATAAATACATATTTATAGTACACTTCAGTACTTCTGTAAATTAAAGATAAAATAATTTCAGAAGGAAAACACATATCAGTTATGAAATGTTTATTTATTTAATTTTAAAATG